CCACGAAGAAGTGTTTGCTGATCTGTTGTACGGCGAAGTGTACAAGACGGATGACGATGTCGACAACATCGCTGAGGATGAGGTGTACAACATATGGCCACTGGTGGAAGAGTCCGATGCTTCCGAGATAAAGCAATTTGTGGACACCGGCAGCTTCCGGAAAATGCGCATCAACTCTTTGACCGAGGAGATTGTTTTGATCGACTCGGTTTGGATTCGCAAGTGGAAGCGTATGCCGGGTGGGGATCGCCGTGTGAAAAGCCGTCTGTGTGCACGTGGCTGTTTCGACAGCCAAAAGGAGCTGCTTTCGACACGCTCGACAACGGCGACCCGTCTTTCACAGCGCATGCTTCTCAGCGCTGCGGCAAACTCGTCCTGGGATGTGGAATCGTGGGACGTGAGTGGAGCCTTCCTAAAGGGCCTATCCTTCGACAAGGTTCGTGAGATCCTCCAGTCCAAGGGCGTCTCCACTCCCATTCGACGAGTAGCTGTGATGGCGCCAGCCAACGCGTGGAGGCACCTGGGCAACTTCAGCGAAGCCTTCCGCATCGACCTTGAGAAGACACACGAGTACGTTCTCTTTTGCCTCAAGCCGGTCTATGGCCTGAACGACGCTCCGTTGGCCTGGCAGCTCTGTCTACATGGCCATTTCGAAGAGCAAGGCGGTCGAGCTAGCCTCTTGGATGAGAACTTGTTCTACTGGAAGGAGGAAAAGGTCAACAAGCTGAAGGCCATAGTCACCACGCACGTTGACGATTGCGGCGCCGGGGCAAAGAACGAATGGCTGACACTCCAGCACAAACTCCTGGTGGAAAAGGTTTGGCAAGGTCACAAGGCAGACTCTTCCCTTCGTGCACTGTGGCGTCCAGTACTCCAAGATTCCGGACGGATTCCGCATGACACAGGATGACTTCTGCAAGAAGCTCAAGCCGGCCTCCATCTCCAATGATCGTAAGGACAATGACGATCTCACCCCTTCCGAGGTGACAATGTTCCGGTCGATACTTGGAGCACTGCTTTGGTTGACAGCCACCCGCCTTGATCTAGTGGCGGATGTGTGTCTGCTGCAGACACAAGTGACCCTCGCAAAGGTGACGCATCTGAGGCAGGCCAACAATACTGTCAAACGAGCTCAGTCCGTGGAGCCCAATCTGGGGTTGATCTTCAGGAAGCTCCGTGGTCCTCTCCGGGTCATGTGCATACATGATAGCTCGGCGGCTGGAAATGTCCGTCATTATGCACAAGAAGGCATCCTGGTCGTGTTGGCAGAGGACAAGCTTCAGCACTTCACTGAGTACGGGCACGTCCTGAGCAACGACGAGGCCAGACTTCTTGGCGGCACTGTCCATGTGCTGTGGGCTCATGGAGCAAAGGCCAAGCGCGTCTCCTACTCGACGAGTCATGCTGAGACGCTGGCGGCCATCTCAGGCCTGGAGGCTGCTTCCTTGGTGACAGTAAGGTTAGCCGAACTGCTGTACGTTCCGAAGCCCAGCATCCATTCTCTTTTGGCTGTGCAAGAGCGCGGTGTTCGGCAATTGCCCATCGACGACCTGGGGGACTGTCGAGACCTGTATGAGTTGGTCTGTGGGGACCGTGGCATCACTCAGGACAAGGGACAACGATTGTATGTCCTTGCTTTGCGAGAGGCACGCTTGTCTCAGCGCCTCCGCTGGATCGGCTTGGTCCCGACTGCATCGATGACCGCGGATGCCCTCACCAAGAGCATGCTGGCTCCGCCAATGATGCAGCTTCTGTCCTCGGGCACGGTTTCTTTCTTCAATGAGGAGAAACACCACATCGTGCTCCGATCACTGCCGTTCATGAAGCAAGTGGAAGAGCATCACTTGGACCTCAGCGACAAAGAGCTGATCCGGGAAGTGGGCACGCTGGCTACTTCACTGTGGTGCGCTTCTCGAACTTCGGCATCGAGAACTACCTGTTTCTTCTTCTGGGCAACTCTTTCGGCGACGAGCTCCACAGCGGCGGCTACTGCCAGACCGACCTCCTCTCCTACAACCACTACGACCTCATCGTCTACGATGGCTTCCGAGGATGATGATCATCGGTCTCTGCTGACTTTTGTTGCTTTGGTTCTGTCCACGGAATGGCTGCTCTGGGGCTTCGCGCGCTACTGGTGGCAACGGCTATGTCCTCGACGGGCCTCCGTGGCGGCCATGGAAGTGGCTCCATCGTCCGGGGATTCCTCACCGACGGATGTGGACACTTCGAACCTCTTCAGCGATGATCCTGTGAATGAGAGGCCTGACGCTGCTGACGCTTTCTGTCAAGCGGACCTGCCAGCTCCGGAACCTGACCCTCGCATCTCAAATTGGGCGATTGAACACATCAACGTCCTGGAGAACAAGGTGAGGAGCCTCACCGAGAACGAGAGGGCGCTCTATGACGAGATCCAAGTTCTGAGGGCCATGCACGATAGCCATATTGAAGCAATCGGCAGGCTGAATCGCGATCTGATGCGATACCAAGGTACAGATCCCAACGGCCTTGATTTGTTCACCACTGCTGCGACAGGCAGAACGTGGCATAGAGACCGCAACTGTCATCATCTGCGGAATGTCCGTACGAGACAGATGCGGTGCTGTTTTGATTGTGGCAGGGGATGATTTCCTGTGCCAAGAACGTGAGCGGAGTCAAGTTTCGCTTCATGTTCTGAACATAGCACCTGAAAGCGGATACCCGAAGCGCGCTTGGGCCCAAAAGTAGTGACACTTCTAA